CGAACTAATTATAATTCAAAAAGCGTATTATAACGTTACTCGAATATCCGCGCGAACATACAAAGTAGCAAATTCTTTTGGGATTTGAGTTTATTTGTTTGACCTTCTGTGACAAATACTAAATTAGAAAAGCTACTACTTTCTTTATAAAAAATTTACTAGAGAACTCATTTTTGTGGAATTCAAAAATAGTCCTATTATAGTTACAATTACAATCACAGAACAAACACAGAAAATTTAATAATGAAAATCATGGTTTCAAAAGTTTCATGTTATAAAATATTCTATATCATGATATAGATATTATTGAAATAATATAAATTTTGTTGATTTATTTACAAAGGAACACACACAGGCAATGAATACCTACTAAGATGAAATCCAATTATTAATTCACCTAATAATATTGAAGTTGAGTTCCAATTATTAGGTGTTAAACCATCTTTTCTCAACATCTTAAAAAGCCACATATTTGGCTATGTTTAAGTTTAATTTATAATTATAATATTCAGTTTATTGTATTGTAGTATTCAGAATTGATGTTCAATTGATTGAATTCAATCAAATTCAAAACAATGCCAGAAATAAAACTCGAGCATGTAATTTAAGAGCATAATTTTAAAACCATCTGCACATAGAGTGTAAAGTGAATTCAAATTATTAAGAGTTGCATCAAAAATAGTTTTATTAAATACAAATGTATTATGATTTAAATTTTGATATAAAAAGTTGATGCAACTAATATATATTTCAATCAAATTCAAAACAGAGCCACAAAACATCTCGAGAATGTTTTGTTAAAAATATAATGACTATGTGTAAGTCTTTTTAAAAGAGATTTATTAAATTTATAATTATAATATTCAGTTTATTGTATTGTAGTATTTGGAATTGATATCCAATTGATTGAATTCAATCAAATTCAAAACAATGCCAGAAATGAAACTCGAGTATGTAATTTAAGATCATAATTTTAAATTCAACAGCACATACAATGTAAAGTGAATTCCAATTATAAATAGTTGCATCAAAAAGGATTTTTATTAAATACAAATGTATTATGATTTAAATTTTGATATAAAAAGTTGATGCAACTAATATATATTTCAATCCAATTCAAAAGAGTGCCATAAAACATCTCGAGAATGTTTTGCTAAGAATATAATGACTATGTGTAAGTCTTTTTAAAAGAAATTTAATAAATCTATAATTATATTATTTAGTTTATTGTATTGTAGTATTCGGAATTGATATCAAATTGATTAAATTCAATAAAATGAAATTCAATTCAAAACAATGCCAGAAATGAAACTCGAGTATGTAATTTAAGATCATAATTTTAAATTCAACAGCACATACAATGTAAAGTGAATTCGAATTATTGAGAGTTGCATCAAAAAAGGTTTTTATTAGATACAAGTGTAATATGATTTAAATTTTGATATAAAAATTGCCAATTGATGCAATTAATATATATTTCAATCGAATCAAAACAGTGCCACAAAACAACTCGAGGTTGTAATTGAAGAATATAATCTGCCCATAATAATATATAAATTGAGATCCAATTATTAAGAGTTTCATCAGGAAGATTTTTTATTTTAAATAGGAATTTATTATTCTTTTAGACTTGAAATAAAGAAGTCCCAATTGATGTAACTGATATATCTTTCAATCAAATTCTAGAAATCTAACTCAAAGGAATTCTAGAAATCTAACTCAAAGATATAATTTTAAGAATATTATTTTAAATCCAACTATTGTGTATTATTGTGCAGATTTCTATCTCCAGAAAAATAAGACCATTACTAAAAACAATTACTAATTACTAAAACATTGACTGATATCAATTTTTTTAAGATACAAAATAGTGTTTCAAAACTTTTACAATTATAATAAGCAATTCTGCAGAAAGTAATGGTTTATTCAAACTTTAGCTTTTTCGAAAGACTGTTACACCCAAGGAACGTCAAAGAAATGATCTTTTCCAAGTAGATATAAGTTTCAATATAAATCTTACCTCTTTAGCAATTTGATCTAAAGCTTGATCTTCTGCAGAACATCGTGGCACAGTACGCCTTCTACCTCCTCCTACACCACTCAAATCCATTTTTTCAAGTTTTAAGATGTTGGACTAAATCCTAGAGATAAATTAATATATTAGTATGTTGTAGGATATGAATACATGTATATATACGAGTATATATATATATATATATATATATATATATATATATATATATATTAGGGTGGTCCTTAAAATGGTCATTTTCGAATTTCCTTGCTCCCAGGGGCTCAAATGGTTCCAAATAGATAAAAAACAATTCTCTGAAAGTTTTAGCTCTTAATATTAACGTTTAGATAGAGCGCAATTCAATCAAAGTTTGTATGGAAAGAGCATGGAAAAAATTTTGAAAATTTAAAAAAAATGTGTTAGGTATAACTTAGCGACAAATGAATGAGTTTTATTAATTCATTTGTTCGCTAAGTTACATCTAAAAAACATTTTTACAATTTTTGAAAATTTTTCCATGCTATTTCCATACAAAACTTTGATTGAATTGCGCTCTATCTAAACGTTAATATTAAGAGCTAAAACTTTCAGAGAATTGTTTTTTATCAATTTGGAACCATTTGAGCCCCTGGGAGCAAGGAAATTCGAAAATGACCATTTTAAGGACCACCCTAATATATATATATATATATATATATATATAAAATACTAAAAGAATAACATTAAAAACTAGCATATAAGTTGGCAAATTTTAAATTGGTACATAATTGGCTAAATAATTAATTGAATTTTTAAATATAATATAATACAATATTGTATTATAAATAGATTATAAGAAGAATACTTCAGAATATAAAGAATTTTAGACCCACAAATTAATTTAGAGGTGCGGTAAAGTCAAACTTGAAGCAACTCAATAAATTATCGCTAATATCTATACATTAATTGTATTTTATTTATAAATTTATTCTTATAAAGAATTCTTACACTAGAGCATTATATGTCAAACACAAAAGCAAAACTGATATTTGAATATCAAGTAAGCTTCAGAAATGTTTTAATTTGTGGGTCGAACATGTTTCGAAAACAAAACAGGTTGCTCTGAATTTTTAGATATTCTAGGCTATTTATAGTGCAGCATATTTTGAGAAAATCTATTAAAATAGCATCAATTTAGTTTTAAATAATATATATTCAAATATATAGCAAGATGATAAAGGAAATATAAAAATGACAGCTAAAATATTAATTATGTATATGAAGAAGTGTTTAGGATTATAATTATATTATACAGATTTTATAATGTATAGATTAGAGTATCAATTGAAGGTATCAAATTAATTGCTATAAATTAGGCCATGATTTAAAAATATATATTCAAACTATTTGTGATAGTATGCATCTTACCTAATCAGATTTTATTCTATCCAAATTCACACCACAACATTGTTTTCATTATAAGCTAAATATTAATTTCATTTGAGTTTATTATTAGAATCTATGACACTTTAATCACAATCAATAGTTGTCAATTACTAGCATAGGATTCGTGTCAAAAAATTGCCCAATATATTCACAGAAGACCAGAATTATGCTGATTGATATGTGACATTGCAGTAAAAATTTATAAAACTATATATAACTTAAAGAAAGACTAAATGCCGATCTAATTAATCGGACCTCTCAATAAATAAAACCATAAACACATGGTAAATGATTGAAACTTTTCAAAGAAATAGTCATTTCTGCAATGCCACCATCTTGAATTTCTTATTGTTGCACAAACTTGTCACGGGCGGTATCGATAACCTTATCGATAACGATTATTTGCAGGAAAACTGTTATTTTAAAATTCAAATATTAAAAATGGCTAATAAAAAATACACAATAATAAATTAACATGTCTACAATCTACCCAGAATCTATTTCATTATTGAATATAATTTTGCGAAGCAAACACTCTTGTCAATGTAATGATGAACTTCTTCATAGTAGGGTCATTTTAATTTAATAAGAATAAGCGATTGCAATTGATATTTATTAAATTCAACAATAAAGGATAAGGACTTAGGTTGATTAGTTTTTGGCTATGATCGGCTTGGCCATTTCTTTATAATACTTACTTGAAGAACTTACTGAATATTAAGTTCATTAATGTTTTGAATATGTTCATCAAAGTTTCAAATTTGTATTGTTACAATTTTAGAAGCTTCTAATTTTTTATAAAACATTACACACATACTTAAATATTATAGATATTCATTTTTAGAATAGGCTTCATATTATCATCACATTTAAGTTTAACAATTTATAAGCTGCTTAAACTAAGTTCTTATATATTAATAAAACAAAATGTGATTTTGTATTATTTATTCAAAAATGTATGTTAATAAACATCCTAAATCAGAAAAAATAATCCTATTTTAAATACTTTCATAGGAACAGTGGAATGTGATATGGTTTAAAACCATTAAAACCAAAATTAGAAATAAATAAAAAAAATCATAAAATTTTCGTGATAAAAATATTGTACTGGGACATTTGGTAAAATATACTTCAAGGCAGGACTTGATGGTTCATGTTAATTTAATTACAAAATATGTAAATTCCTAAGCTAGAGTAAAAAAGAGTTATCTACAACACTAATTGAGTATTCGTATACTTATACCATATAACATTGATTATATCAGTATGCTTAAAGTCCTAGGCCTACACCACATATTGAAATGTATGAGTAAATGACTTCTAAAGTAGAAAATATGAAAAATAGGCAGTTCGATAAGTACATATTCTAAATTTATTGTATTAGATATTACATAAAAATTGTATCACCGAATTAATTTATAAACCTTAAAATAACATGAGTATCAAAATTTTAAAAACTTATTTACCAATCAGTCTTTTGCAATAAATACTAATTTGTCAATGTGATGAAATATTGAAGGATGGATTTCTTATGGTATATGGAAGCCTATCTAGAAAATTGGAATAAATAAATGTGTAAACTTGATTTTGGCACCACTACTAAAATGATCGGCAATGTAATTACATATTAAAAACCTAACTAAATTAAAATGAACGAATAATGATAACATGTACTTCAATAAACAATGAATCCCCAAATTAGGGAATGCATCTTTATCAACATCCGTCTTCAAATATATACAAATAGCAACTTAAAAAGAATCAAATACTTTTTAAGTGTTTGAAATTGACCACCTTCAAATAATTAGGCAGCTTCTTCCACAGGGGCAGGGGCAGGACTTGAATCAGCTGGCAATTTCTTCACTTTCACTTCCTGCACAGCCTCATCACTTACGCCATTTGTGGATCCATTTGTGACATTATCACCATTGACTTCTGCTTCTTTATCATTCTCTTTATCTGAATCAGCTCCATTGGTGCTAGATTCTACGACATCACCATTTCCCTCAATTTTGGATTTCAATCCATTAGTACCATTTGTTTCAACCCCATTGGATTCTTTTAAAGTGTGGTCATTTTCATCACTGGGTTTGGCATCACTAGAAGTTACATTAACATCAGCTTGAACCTTTTCAGAACTCACTTCAGATACTTCTGCTTCTTTTACTTCCGCAGTACCGTTTGCTTCAACTTTGTTTTCAGCCTCATTTTCTTCAATGACAACAGTTTCAGGTTTCGTTGAATCTATTTCTGAATTTGTTTTATCATCAGTCTCCTCACCATTCTCTTTGGTTACATCTGTTGTGGTCACAGCAACTGTTTCAGTTTCTGTTGTGGCTACGACAGCAGATTCTTCACTTTCTTTGACAACATCAGAAGTTTTTGCATCAGTACTATCACATGGTTCCTCTACTTTAACAGTTTCTTCACTAGCCTTGGCAGAGACAACTTCTTCCGATTCAGTCTTCTTACCTGAATCAACTTCCATAGGTTCAACTTCATTGGTTTCTGTTTTGGTCTCTTCAGGCTTTTGCTCCTCTTCTGGTTTTTCAGTCTCTTGTGGTTTCTCAGTTTCAGTCTCTGGTTTTATTTGTTCAACTTCAGCCTTCTCTGGTTCAGTCTCAGTTTTTTCAGTCTTCTCCACATCGGTGGTCATTTCAACTTCAGTTTCAGTCTTCTCCACATCAGTGGTAGTTTCAACTTTTTCAACCTGTGTAGTAGTACTTTCAGCAGTTTCCACAGTTGGTTCAACTTTGTCTGATGATTCTGTTGTGGTTTCAGCACTTACTGCTGGTACTTCAGTCATTTCTACATCAGTGTCCATTGGTGTTTCAGTATCTTTTACAACCTCTTCTGCAGATGAAGAAGTGAGTACTTCATTTGACTTTTCAGCAGAATCAACAACCTCAACAGATTTTTCTGAAGTTTCAGACACTTCATTTGATTTCTCAGCTGATTCGGTAACTTCTACTGATTTCTCTTCTGCAGTTGTAGTGGCTACCTCATCTTGTTCAATTTTGGCAAGTTTTGCAGGATGCTATAAATTATAATATCAGATTATTCACAAAAAATGCTCAAAGTTTTATAATAATACATTTTATAATGACTTTAAAAAATACCATTGATAAACTGAAATTGAATTTAAAGCAACACTTTCTTTTTTGAATATTTTTTAGTTTGTAATAATAATTAAAAATGCTAAAGAATTTTTGTGTGTGTATTTTGGATAATTTGAAATACATTAACAACTACTACAGAAAATATATTATCTACTTCAAATAACTATAGCAACTACCAAATAAATTTCATTTTGTTACAAATTATGACTTTACGAACATACCTCTTCCTCATCTTTATCATCTGATTTTCTTTTAGCGCTAATTGCTTCTAAAGGTAATTCTGAGAATGATTTAATTATGGTATGCTTTTCTCTATCTTCATCGGTAAATGAAGTCTCAGAATCACGCTGAACTAGAACAGCAGCCATACCAGCTTCTAAAGCAGCATTTGCTTCTACAAAATAAATTCACATACTAAATATGTATTCATATACTCTCAGATTGGTAGGAAATACTATCTTATAATGTATTCATACCACATAATTTTATTTAAAGTAGTTGCAGAAATTAAAAATGATTGGAAATATTATTTACCATTTACGATATCAGTCAAGAAAAGAATTTGATCACAGCCAATTTCTTTGCTGATGTTTTTGTAGCTGTCCACTTCTTGTTTACCGCCAACAGAGGTATCAAAATGACCTGAGATCTTGTCCAACAAATCGCCTTTTTCTGTGTTGCCAAACAAGAGTTTTTGGGCAGCTACACTTCCGCTTGAGTAAATATAGAGTTGGTGACCTGAGGCTGACCAGCTTGTTAGAGCTTCAGGAACATCATCATAGACACTAAAATTAAATGGGTAACATGTGTAATTTACCAGTAACATGGTCAAATGTATAAATTTTTAATTGTCTCTAAAGAAACATTATATTATATACATTTTTATAAGTTAAGATTGAAAAAATACTTACTGTCCCTTAATGGTACCATCTTTGTACCCCTTCTCCCAGATGAGTCCCTGCAATGTCTTAAGAGCTCCAGTCTTACGATCAAGGCTGATTTGCCATTTTACATTATCAACAACTGATTTGATAACAGCCTCACGGTTGCTATCATCTTCTTCAATTATCTCAACACAGCCTTCAACTGATTCTGATTTATCTTTAACAGCTAGTTCTCTCAATGCAGATACTGCAGATTTAACATCTGCAGACTCCCAGTTAGATGTTAGGAAGGATTGTACATTGTCCGAGGCATAAGGGAACAAAGTGTCCTGCAGAGAAGTTGATATTAGATTTATATTAAATAGAACAAGTCGTTGGACTTGGTAGACGATCCAAAGTAAACCATCATAAATTCATCTACCTTTGATACAGAATGCATTTTAAAATAAACATTATTTCTTTTATACAGTAAAACAATAGTCTCGTAAGTGTTCAAGCATGATAAAGTTTGATATTTACTTACATTACAGAAAGAATAATTTTAAAATATTAATAAAGGATAATGAAAAGATAATCATTTTTAGTGTGATGGTGAAAAATACTAAATCGAATCATTTCATTACTATTAATGTAACTTAGTAGTATAATACATTACCCTTGTTGCATATACCTAGTAATTTTGACCAAAAGAGTCATTATAAATATTAGGGACAATATAATACAGATCAAAGGATCTTTTGCATCTAATCACCTTTACAGTACAATTGATTATGTATTGATCAAGGAATAAAATAAAATTGTAGAAGAAGAAATTTATATAAGCCTGTGAGGTTCCAAGTGAATAAATAATAAATTAGACTAAAACCTACTAATTACTATGAAAGTTTTCAATTAAAACTATTAAATTCGTAAATAAAAACGAATATTTTCATTAGCCCTTGATATAACCCGATTGCCAACAATTTTAGCGAACAACAATTCAATCCAAAACTGGTTTGCAGAAACACAGATGTGCGGCATTTTCATGTGTCCACCATTAAGAAAGCCGAAACAAACAGAACTATTTTTTTTACCAAAATTCACTCACTCTTCGTCTAAACCAATATATACTATCACACAAATCATTCAATTAACTCTATTTCGAATAAATGTAAACAATGGGTTTGTATATTTTGATGAAACATGAGATTTATGACCTACCTTAACAAAGCTTTTCGAGGTGGTTGTGCCTTCGATGTCTAGCAAAATAGTTTTCGCAGAAGTTATTTTAGTATCAAATTGTTGAGCGGTTTCCATTGTTATCACTGTTTAAAATCTACTTAATATAAGTTAAAAATAATAAAAGTTTATTTAGAAAAACTAGAAGCTTTGCAAGAGTTTAGCACCAAGGAGCCCGTCAACAAAGACCGGCGAGAACAAATATTGCAAATCTTCTGCGAACACACCTCCCTAGAACAGCGCGAAAATAACTAAATTTGTGCGTAGCGCAGTGTGGCAACACCTTGAACCACATCCGCTAAAGAGCGCGGACGATTTGAAATCATTTTTAGTGTAGAAACGAAAACCAGATTTGTAAAAGATCATTCCTTTTCAAATAAATTATACATTTTATAACAATTCTTATCGGTTCATACAAGGCAAAAACAATTTCCTTATCACATCTTTGTTCATTTTATGAATAATAAAAAAACTAAAAAATATAAGCCTCTGTTGCCAAATCTTAAATCTGGCAACATCGCAATATTTTAATATAAATTAATAAATTTTACTAATAATAAGTACATTGATATGATATTAATACTTGTTTTATAAAAAATAGTCATAACATATTAATTAGATCCATAAACAAGTTGTAAGTGGCATTTGGCCTTAGGGCAAGTTGCATGAATCTTCCGGTACATGTACCGGAATACCTACATAGACAATAAGAATTAAAATTAAACTATTTAATAAAAAATTTTAAACATTAATTGTGTAATAAAATCTAATCAATTTATTTATTAAATTATTTAATACATTTCATTCTTCTTTGTTTTTTAAAAATGAATTTTATTTAAGTGTGGACATCAACTGTAATCACCAGTTAGAAAACACATAACAAATTTGATAAAAATTTCATTATTAAACCATTTATAATATTTTATGTTAGTTAAGACTATAAAGTGTATCGTCATACAAAATTTAACCAAAATCGCCAAAAACGTAAACCCCATCAATTTTTTTTATTACTGCTAGTTTTAACAATCAGATTACAATACAAAATCTATAAGTTAAAAGTGAGGGCATTGAATTTAATAAATGAATATTCATATTATTATTTATTTATTATTTTTATTCGATGCATTCCCTGCTTAAATATGGCTAAAAAAATACTATATACTACTTAGAACACAATGCCACACAAGAAGGTTGTTACATAAATAAACTTTGAAATATTTATATATTTACTTTAATTTTTTTTTAAAACAAAAATACAATTTCTATCATTTCTCGTAAAGAGAGTTCTGCGAATATAAATTCTATTATTATTTCAACTTCTCTAATCAAAACCAAAACCAAAAAACTTATTTTTAAATAAAACAAATAAATTCCTGTTGTTTATGGATCTAATTAGTACGTTTTACTTTAGGATCTTTAGGGAGTGAAAATTTAATAGATTAAAATATAATAAAAATTTGAATTTGAGATGGATTTAAACAAAATAGTATCAAAAGAGGCCTGATAAAAATTTATAACATAAAAAAAAAATATTGAATATATTGCAGAAAATTATAAACTCTATATGTATATAGATTATTAACATTACTGTTAGCACATTTGCACATTGTATACAATTTTTAGTATATTATTGATTTGCACTTTATTAAATCTATTTCAGACAAACAATGGTTCACAAATCAATTACTTTGAATTCATTCAATTACTATAATGATTTATATATAAATAGAAATAAAATTTAATGTACAAATGAGAAACATCTGCTAATAGTATTTCTTAAAAGCAGCCAAAAAAAGGTATGATTGTGGTCAATTTGATTGCCACAATTATATAAAACAAATATTGGAAGCAGATGTTATACTAAATATTGTATTTTCATCAGGTAAATAAAAGGCAGGTACTAAACTTAAAGCACGAGGATATATATATATATATATATATATATATATATATATACATATATATATACATACAAAAATACAAATATTTTTTTATAATTTATGTCAAATATGATCAATTTTGTTTCATCCTTTTATATTTGTCATATTTTTTTAAATATATATTAAGTATTTATTTTATATTTTTATAAATGTATTTATTTATTCATATTTTTTGTTCCATTGCTTTTTTAAAAATTACATATTGCAAAGATGAGCACACTAAATGTGGAAACGTTAAAAGGTCAATATGAATAATAATATTTATTAATTTCTCGTTTCACAATTAAATAAATAAGGAAAATTATAAATTTCATCATATTAAATGTTACAATTTTCTTGAAAATAGAGATTTTAAAGAAGAGGGAAGTAATGTCCTCAATTATCCTTCTCCATATCTACCTCAAGATGTATGTGCGAAATCAACACCAATTGTATGTACGGTCAACTCGTACAAAGACCAACCCGATAACTCAGGTAGGTCTGTTTATACCTAAGGATTATTTTATAATCTAACTAAATCAGTTGTGGCCAACGACTTGAATATTTTGTAAAATAAGAAAAAATAATTTTCTAGTTGAAAGAAGCAAAACATTAAGATTTACACTTTTATTGACTGTTGGTTGAGCTGAAAAACTTACTGTTTTTAGTAGAATATTGTATTATGTTGAAAATGGAAATGATTATTTAAATATTAAAATTATAAAGAAAAATGTAACTAATGTTTAAAGAAAAACTTACTAATTAAATGTATTTTAAAATGGTAATAATTATTTTAATACAATATTGTAATGTTCTTCAAAAATACATTAAATTTATAAAACATTAAGTTTAGTTAATACTTTTATTATCTGAAAAAATTGTTATTTTTAACAGAACATTAAAATATTTTAATTTTGGTAATAACCATTCAAATATTTTGTAACATTCATAATGAAAAATATTACACTTGTGTTAAGTAAAACATTAAGATTATTTATATTCCCATTTTCCATCTTGGCTAAGCTGAAAAACACGTTACTTTTAGTAGAGCATTGAAATATTTTAAAAATAATTTTTTTATAAATATTCATGAAGGATATTATGCTTTTTTTAAAATGAAAATGTCGAGGGTAAAATAGAAGGAACAAAAAGAATGGGAAGAAGAAGAATGCAGACGATTGACGACTTACGCGAGAAGAGAAAATACAGGGAACTGAAAGCCGAACCACATGATAAGAAGCATGAAAACAGAAGATTCAAAAGGAAAATACATGAAATAAAAAAAATGGGGATAGAGAATAGTGGTAATGGGTTGAAGGACAAGGAAATCATTTGTTGTGGTGGCTCTCCCACCATGGACCTGCCTTCTGGCATACTACCATTTATTATTATTATTATACTAAAAGTTTGCATTCAAAATTCCTTTACAAATAATTCAACTTGTCTATTTTTATAAAGAAATACTAGAAATGATAAGTATTTAATTTCTATAATAAGTAATTAGAATTGTATCGACCAATTAATTATTTTACAGATATGTTCAAATTTTGCAAAAACCAGTAATTAATTAATTATAGTAATTAGTTCAGTAATAATTTTAGATTATTACTGAATTTTAGATAATTTTAGTAATTTATTTTAGAATTTCATTCTTTAACCTTACTGAGCAACAGTTTCCAATAAAACTTTAAAAATATTCTTATTCGTTCTAATATAATAATTATTATATCAGCAATTGTTCTTTTATTTCTTACAAGATTCAATTATTATATTTCAAAAATACTTGGATTATCAGTTGAATTCTTTGACCTTTCAGGCCTGTAGTATTCTGATAAGAATCGTTGTCGTGATAAGATTCTTTTAAGATTCAAACAGAATCTTATTAGATTAGGAATCCTTGAACGATTTTGAAATAATTGAATAATACACTTTTGAACTAACTTAATAATGATAAAATTAAATTTAAATGAAATCTTTATGTATAATTTAAAAAAAGGAAAGATTTTTAAGTAGATATTTTTACGTTTCTTATATTTGTATGCAGTGTTGTTTCAATATTTGATATTGGACAATATAAAAGATATAAAAATATATAATAAAATTATATATAATAAAATAAACAATTATTGGGTATCCGATACCAAGTGACTTACATCAATATTGTAAGAACAAAAACAGATGAATAAATACAGTACATCAGTATTCATAAATATTATTTTTAATTTTACCTAGAACAACCTCTATTCAACAACGTCCGAATTCTTCCCTCGGTTGAGAATCTGAAGTTAAATATTTCGCCTGACAATGGTGCAGACCTCTCCAGAGGAATGTCGGCTTGTTTGAGGTGCGGCTGCTGCCTGGCAGTGGCCTTCCGGGTCGGCGAGATTCTTGTCCAGGCGAACCATGTGAATGATGACCGATTGATACATGACCAGGATTTGCTGTCCAGGGTTTATGCTAGAGCCTGTGATGGATTTTATGATTATAGTCTTCGGGAGAGTAAAGGATATAGGTAGGAGAGATATTTTAATGAAACTAATTTACCAAGATAATTAATCATATCTTGGTCAAGGTTTGACCAGGGCTTTTCTATTTAACGCGGGATCCTTTAGGGTAGGGGGTACAATGGTATGAGTAAAAATACCCGTAACATAATAATAAGAGAGACTAGCAAGTGTAATGAGAGAAGAAGTTTGTAGAGTGAAGATCAATATATATCATAAACTAAATAGTGGTTTAATTCACATAAATTATGGTGATGGAATATTTATAATTTACAGATTAATGATCCTCACCATATCTAATATTATTAAAATATTCATTCAATTTATATATTATTACTTTTAGTTTAGTTTCTAATAAAGGTTTATATAAAAGGCTTCTTGTATAAGTTGAAGATTTATAATGTTACTTACAAAATGTTTTGCAAGTACTTCCACGTATCTTTAAAGAGAACTGAACATCAAATTACATATCCTCGTCCAAATTATTTTTATAGGATCCGAAAAAATTCAACCAACTGTATTATTTTACCAAAACGAGAAAATCAAGATCGCATTACTAAAATAATACATAAATTAGTCAGAATTAACATGCATTTTTAAAACATCTGTTGTGGAAAGTCGCAGAAGATGATAGTTTATTTAATTCGAATTGTTTCAATTCCAATAAGGTCTGGAAACATTTGTTCTAGGATAACAAGAAATTATTAGGCTTTCTTTATTTATTGTTCTATACAAATGTTTGTTTTCCAGAATGGTTTCCACAGCTCTTCCCATGACAATGCATGTGCCCACCCCATATGATGGCATTTGGCAAAAATTACTTAGAGC